GTCTGCCTAGTCTTCAGCAAATTCCAATTTCCTCTGAGACATTGGCAGAGATGCTCACTCTTGGAGTGGATTTTCCTATCTTCTACAGTGCTAAGGTAAAATTGGAGTTAATTAACGTGCTCTAGAAGACTAGTGCTTGCACATAAGTTCAGACGGAATCATATTACTTTAAATGAACCACACAGTTGTTTGCGAATTTGGTTGGTACTGCCTGGATGGGCTTTATCACTGTGGCTTGTCCATCAGAGTGAAAACCATAGAAGGCTGTGGGAAAGTGAGTGGGCAGCCCTGCTGGAAGGACCGTGCCAAGCACAAACAAGGAAGAGAGGTAATTTTATCAATGATTTTCAAAAATCTTTTACAAATAAAAATGTACTCTGTGAGTCCTTTAAAGAAATAAAAGGTAGATGTTTCAGTAGCCCAGGCAAAGGCTTAATTCCAGAATGTGCTCAAACTATGTAAAACCTTAGGAACGCATTGTTCTTGCAGCTTCTCATCTTGGAAACATAAACAGCTGCTGTTTGCTGTCTCTGCAGTATTCATAATAGAGTGATATGATCTCTACACCTAAAGTAAGACTGTTCCTGGTGTAGGTCAGCCCCTCCTCTCCCTCCCCCTCACAATCAGTTACCAAATCTTACTTACATCTTGCTCACTCCTACCTTTCTGTTCCCTCTCCTACATCCAAACAAACACCATGCCCTATTTATTCCAAATCATTGTGACTGCTCTTCACTACGGCCTTACCTTAACTCACAGCTTTCTCACTGCTCAATTCTGTAGTATCGATTTAGTTTCATTTCCACCTATGTGTGCATTCTTCAGACAAAACTGGTCTTTCTAAAACACAAAGCCATCTTATTGTGTCACATTCTTGCTAAAAATTCTTTAATCCTGCTTTTGTGCAGGACAAGGCTCTTGCTCATTATTATGACCTGTATAACTAAGGAGCTGGCTTCTACCCAATGCTCCTCTGACACCACCTACACCCGTGTCATAATGTCCCCTTGCCCTGTAAGAGTTCCTCGTCTCAAGGCCCTTTTCCCATTCCTCTCCATCATGGCTACAACTCATGTCACAGCAGCATTCGGTCCAGATATCTTCCCTATCAGATCTTTCATGACTCCCCCTTAAGCATCACCCTCCCTTTCCTTAAACGTTCTGTGCACTTTATGTTGTTCTTTTGTCTTTTTGAAACAGGGGTGCCCTATAGCCCCATCTGACCTGGAACTTGCTATGGAGACCAGGCTGGCCTCAATCTCACAGAGATCCTCCTGCCTCTGCCTCCCAAGTGCTGAGATGAAAGGCATGTGCCAATATGCCCAGCAAGACTTTTTTAGCATTTACAGAACTACATGTTGACAGAGAAATGCTTACAGAGAGCATTTGAGCACACACCTACATTAAATTGATCTCATTAACAATGAAATACACAGAATGTGTTTAAAAGAGGATGTGAAGGCTAAGATTGTTAAAGTGGGTACCAGCAAGATGGAATGGCATATTCAGATTTTCAGAATCGAATTGAAGTGAACTGAAGTGAACTGAAGTGAAGTGACGTGACGTGATGTGACGTGAAGTGGAATGAACTGAATCTGTGATACTGGGGACTGAACATGGTTCTGTGCATATTAGGCACTCTTCCACTGAGCTACACCCCTAGCCGAGATCTAAAATCTAAGAAACGACTCCTAGACTAGATGCAGCCACAGGTCATGTCTTCTTAGACGTTAGGACATTAGGACTGGATCTCCTTGCTCATTGCCACAACCTCAACGCCTGGCGTCCACCCTGCTTGCCAGAGCCAATATTTCTCCCTGAGCTGGTGCACAACTGACAGCACCATGGGAGACTATGTGCATGCCTCAGCGCTCCTGAGGCCCCTGGCATGCATGAGCTCCCAGTTCCAGCCTACAATTTTGCATAACAAAAGACCACATCAAGAACGCCTCCCAGCCTCCTCACAGAACGTTTTTGCCATCTCACCTTAAAAATCAACGCATCCCAAATGACCACTTATGTTTCTCTAAAAATGTACACCATTTATTCATGTGCTTAACCATCACCCTCACCCAAAAATTTCCAAGCAGTCTCGCATAAAGTCCTTCTACTGGACCAAACACTTTGGATGGCATTTGTCTACTTCATGCCTTTCAAAACCAGTGTGTCCTCTCCTGGCCCATCTGAAAGATCCATGAAAGAACACCCTGGCAAAGAATTTCAGACCTAGGAGACACGTTGAGACACAATTTTGCCAGATTCTTGGCTCTAAAGCCCTCATAAACATTTTTTTTTTAAATGTTAAAAGGGTGTATTCTCTGATAGGGAAAAAGATTCGCATTTATTTTGTCAAAAATCTTTGCTTGCAGTAAAATGACCCAATGTTTCCTGATCCAAAGAGAGTGTCTTCTTTGGGTCTTTTAGGCTCCATGTTGACTGATTCCTTGATGAACTGGGTCTTGCAGCAAAGACCGTGACTAATAAGGCGATCACGATAAAGAACGATAGAGAACGCAGACATTCTGGCATTGCACTAGTTAGAGACACAAGGACTGTTTCCTGAAGAACAACAGGTACCCCACAAGGAACTCCACGCATCTACCAAAACAACATCCGTTTTCTGTCTCTTAGAACACCTGCACTTATTTCAGAGAGAGTTCAAACATTGTAAGTATGTCCTAGAGCCTGCCTCTGCAGGACGGATTCAAGATCGGGAAGGAGGGAAATCAAACAAGGTCAGCCGATGAAGTAAAGGCGGCATCGGTAAAGCCGGTGTGCTGTGAATGCGAGAATTTTAAATCTGACCAGAGGCAAACACCACTCTTGGTGCAACTTCCAACACCAGAGTTCTTGTTCACCTGCAGCAGCCCTTCCTGGAATGCCCCACCCCCAGCCTCCTGCTCTCTGCCCCTCCCCCTCTGCAGAATGTTACAGATGGCATTCTGGCCGTTTCCTTTCAAATTTTACCCGACGTGGCTGGATCGCTTGGCGCATCGGCCACATTTTGCTGACTCTCCGAGTCCTTAGCTGAGTTTTCTCACCGTGGACACTACTAGTCAGACAAGGTTGCAGTCTAAGTCGCCGAGGATGGTCTCAGGAGGTAAGGCTGTTCTCTCAGGGTATGGGACCAACTCCCTGCCACCTTTAAACTGTTGAGAATTTAAATTTAGCGCCGGGGACTACTTATTGTGTTAAGGGAAAAGAAAGAGACAGCTTTTGTCTGCCCTAAGGACATCTCACAGAAGGAGATGGCAGGATGAGCTGAGTCTGTGAGGATATTTAAGGTGTGATAGGGAGATAACGCTGGGTCAAGAGAAAGGAGGGGAACACCTAGACTGATTCTTTCTATACAAAAGGCAGGTTCCATCAGCTTCACTCATAGCTATGGTTGGATGGTTCATTTTAGGGACTCTGGTTTGGGGAAAACACCTGAGCCTGGGTAATTTCTCCAGGCATCTCGAACTTGCTCTATGTAATTATGAATCTTACAGATTTGACTGGACCACCCTAGATCTGGGGCGAACAGTGGAAACAAATTACCTAGGCAAGAAACAGCTCATTAGGGCTCTCTCTGATCAAGGGTCCTGAGCTGACTTCTCTGTGAGGGTGGAGGCTGCTCCATCAACTGGAAGTCCAGAGCCCCTCACTCCTTCCCACCCAGGGAAGGTTTCTTATCAGTTAGTTGGTGCCTTTAATTCAATAGGGGTGGAGCAGTCAGAAAACTTCAACTAACAGAAAGGTGCTTGTGATAACTGGTCTACCTAGTTTTAAAATAGTACTTTAGAGTTACAGTTTTAAAACTATCTGTGCTGTTCCCTGAGCCCTTCGCTTGATGAAAAGATGTCTCATCTTCCTTGATCCTGATTTAGATCCAGATTTAGAGTGTTGTTAGCTTTACCATAGTGGATTCTGAGATGCCTAGTTTACTTTTCCAGAAGCTTTGGAGAATACCATTTGGCTTGGAAATGTTCTGTTGTTACTGTTATTCAGTTAGAAAGGTGTCCTGTTATTAAGTCCAGGCCTTATGGACCTAGCTTTTTGACAGGATCTTTGTGATTCCCTGCTCAACAGGAATGAGCTCCAAACAATCGTGTGTCATTTGGGCACCAGCTCATGCCTGTACCCCAGGAGTCATTCCTTTCCTTTATATTATCAGGAGTTCGCAACAGAGGGACCATAAATATATACCTCATTTCCATGAAAAATTCTAACACGAGTAGCTCTGAAAATTCCCAGAAACCTCAGCAGCCCTCTACTAACTAACCATTGCCCAGTGTTTTCCAGTACTCAACAGTCACTGCTGGGTGCACAAATTCAAAGACAGGAAATCCAATAGCTGTCTTACACATCTGTGCACTGGGAACAGCTTCCTGCCGTGGTGGAAACAATAATCACTGGGGCACTGGGGCAGTGTTGGTCATCTTATCCCACTGTTTTCTGTAGGAGGCATTAGGAAAGGGAACCAAAGGACAGGTGGGGTATGCTGCAAGGTCCCTCCCAGGGTTCCAGGGCACTAGCTTGAGAGGTTTCTCACGGGTGCTTTCAGTTTGTTGTGCCACCCTAAAAAGGGTGGGAAATCTGTGTATGAAAGGAACACTCTGCAGGGAATGGGGCCAAAATCTCTGAAACCTGCAACCTTCACCGAGGCCCCTGGGTGTCAGAAACTGACTCTAAACATTGGTGCCTTACTTCTTGATGGGGATCTTTAGTAGGAAAGTGGTGTCAAGCAGAATCAAAACGATGCACATCTGGAGAAACACCTAGGAGACCGATGAGTTTTCTGCCACCAATTCGTGAAAGCGCCTCTCAGCAGGGAAAGGAGAGGTGTTCCTCACCACACTCAAGAAGCAGGGAATCTTGGTCAGCTGGAAGATGCCAGCAGGAATAACACTTGGCTAGAGGAATCCAGCAGTAAATTCATTCAGGGACATTTGGAAATGGCACAATCTCCTCTTTCCCATGACCCTGCCCTGTTGAGATTCCTCCCCTGGTTCTGACTGATGCCCAGGAGTAGAGAACCTCCTTCCTGTGTCCTTCATCTTCTCCATCCACCCGCACCCCTCGTGACTGCAGGGATATCTCCAAGAAACTCTCTGGTGCTGTCTTCATTGCCCAGGATGTCTTTGGTGGCAGGAGATTGGGGCCATGGCCTGGGTGGAGTTATGCCTTTGAACATGATGCAAGTTGGGACACCAGGGGGACCCGCTCAGCCTGCGCACAATGCCAACCTTGTCTTCATTCGGGTGCCCCTCAACTGGAATGTCCCTGTGGTCCTTGGTGGAGGTGTAGAGCACCCTGCTCCCCTCTTCATGAAAGCACCTTCTGTGAACACCTTCGTTAATGTCCCAGGCGTTGCAGCTTCCCAGCCCTGCAAGGGGAACTGGGTTCTGAGCCTTCCCTCTCCAGCCCCACCACAAGTTGTCCAGCTGATCCCTGTAATGTCGCCAGTGAATGCAGCACCACCTCCACAAGGGACATATGGAGAGGGTGGCCTGGCCAACTTTCAGACTAACCCCCCAGAAAATGACTTGTCCAAACCGGACAGCGCGTATGGGTACTTCCGGCACTGGCAACATATCAAGACCCTGGTCCGGAGGCACCTGCCCCAGACTCCTGACGTAGAAGCATTCTCTTGCTTCCTCATGTAAGTACCACCTAGGAGCTGGAAGCTCCTCCTGGGGCTCAAACATGATGAATGTGAGGTAGGCAAAGCAGTTATTGAGGGTGAGGGGGGCCACTTCAGAGAGCCACATTGTGGGGGAATAGTAATGTCATACCAGCCTTCTTGATCTCATTTGATCGTCGTCACCATGTGATCTCAGCCAATCAATGCTTTTCAGTAATTATCACAGCCACATGGAGGGCTGAGGTCAGACAGGGTTCTGGTGTCACAGGAGCTACAATTTGAATTCAGGCCTCTGACTTCACTTGATAGTCCTTATCTTACAACCTTCTAGAACAGACTTGGGTGTTTATGACCCAGAGCACATCACAACTAAGGGCGGGGAAGGGTGGCTGGACTGAGGGAAACCTGAACATGCATCCCTAGCCCACTGTTCTGGGGAATTCAACTTAGGACAGCAAGTTAGTCGACCCTCATTGGGGAAATCTTTGGGTTCCTCCTCCATTTTGAGCTTTGGCAGTCATTCTTCCTTCTTTGCATTTAGGCAGTCAGCTCAGGCTGCCTACAAGACAAGGCAGACTGGGTCTTTGAAACCTCAGAGCTCTCTTCTCACAGTTCTGGAGTCTGGAGCCCCAGAGCCAGGCCCCTACAAATTCAGTGTCTGGTGAGGACTGCCCCCTGGCTGTCTCAGCTGTGTTATCACATAGGACTAATAGGAGAACTTGGATGCTTTGCCCCTCTTCCCAGAAGGGCACTATCCCATCATGGGAGTCCCATCTTCATGACCTAAGCCTGGCTACCACCCAAGGCCCCATTCCAGTGACCGTCATCTGGGCATTAAGGTAGCCATATGGAAGTCTGTTCAAGAAAATCTCCCATGTGCACTGATACAGATGACTCACATGGCAGCTAGGGAGATCAACACTTGATGCTGATATTAGGTGCATGGGGATGGGTCCTGAAGTGTAACAGTTCCTAACAGGCATGAGGACAACGGTGTGTGTTGGGCTGGGTCACCTGGGAACTGAGAGTGGGCTTGTAGACTGTGAGTGCTCCTCGTGAATTGCAGCCCAGTGCTTCGATCCCTGGCCCGGAGGTGGCCCGACATGAATGTGGAGAAGGGTCTATGGAGGGGTCTGCATGAATGGAAGTCCACAAGCAACTTTGACCGGATGATTTTCTTTGAGATAGCAGATGAGTGAGTCACAGAGGGTTTGGGTCTGGTCTGCTGGTGAATGGGAATGCAGGGACTGCTAGGCTGAAACCTAGGCTTGGTGGTTTATCACCCACACCAATACCAGGAAGGGTACCCACTGATCAGGCCCATCCATTGATCACACCATTACCAGGAAGGGTACCCACTGATCAGGCCCATCCATTGAAACCTTGCTGCCCATCAGGCTGTTCCTGGGCCCTGGAGTGAAGGGAGTTCTCTAGCCCATGCTCGAAGTAGCTCTGGCCTCTCTGGACAGGAGTTCATCCCTGCCTTTAGGTTGAGGGTCGAGGTGGGAGAGGGACCCACTCATCCCCATTTAATCTCCTCCAGCTTGGGAATTTTACACAGGGAACAGATCCCAACAGCTTTGTGCCAAGCACCTAACCTGAAGCTAGTGCTTTTTGACAAAAGAGCCCCCTTGCTTAAAAAAAAAAAAAAGCGGCCTCAATTTTATTCCATGAGACACAAGAAAGCATGTGTAAAAAAGGAAGCCTTGTTAGACATTCTGAGGACACAGCCTTAGTTTTTCAGCCTTTGTTCCATGCAATGCCAATCATTCACACAAGCCAAAAATCAGCTCTCGGAGGGAAGCAGCCATACCTCTCAGCTTAGCTTTCACTGTCTCCTGACGCTCCCTAGGCCATGTCTGCCAGGTCATTCCGGCATTACAAGTTTCAGTTTATTTCTGAATCTGGTCCGAGTTACCTGATGCATTCCACCATCAGTCACATCCGTGACTGGCCGGGCATTCAGCTCTTTGTGGTTCTGGGCAGGATTAGCATGGGTCTAGAGGAAGGGTACCCTGAAGGCTCTGCTTAGGCCACCTGACTGCCTTGACTCCCTCTAGGTGCCGAAGGATAAAGGGAACCCCAGAACTATGGTTCTGTATCAGGATCAGCAATTTTTTCGGACTAGACCATCTTTAGAAACCTACTGGTTCTGAAGCCTTGGTCTGCTGTCCATCTCAGCTCATCCTGATGCTTTCTCATCCCCAGGTTCACAGAGTTTGAGCGTGCAGAAGAGATGGAGGATCCAAGGTTGGAGGATAATGAGAGGCTTCCAGTTCCAGCCTCCTGAAGTCCCACTGATACAGGATCCTCCAGGGCCCCAAGCCCCTGAGGTTGTCCAGCAGCCAGGTAGGTTCTCCCACCTACCTGCAAGTGTGTGTATAGATGCTGAATATGATAGACTGTTGTTCCAACTGTAGGCCTCTTCCTACAAGATACTGTATTTACTATGCAAGCTGAACAGCTCCCTACAGCTTGGGGTTCCTGCTGCCCTTGGTCTTGAACTAGATAATGACCTGGCCATGATAAATGAATACTTCCCCGTCCCCCCGCCAAATTGACTCCAAACACTGGATGGTCAGGACATGGGCATTGGGTCTGGAGAGAAGAACCTGGAATACTGGTGACTCTAAACATTCCCCCACATGACTGTCTAGACCTTTCACCTCTTGCAGTTTCCCCTCTCACAGGTCCTTAGGCAAAGCTGTCCTGGCTCACCCTGGACCCCATCTGTGTATTGTCATGTTCCCCTTCCTCCTAGTGTGCATCCCCATGAAGACTGAATCCAAAGTCAACCCTGCCCATCTACCAGCACCCGCACACCAGAAATCAACAAAGACAGAGGCACCCATCGAGATCACTCCTGAAGCTGTGCAGGAGTAGATAGACATCATGGACTGGCTGGAGGGGCTTCCATGCTCAGACACAGGGAAGCCTGAAGAAAAGAGGGAAAGGGACAACACTGAGTCACAGCGAGAAGGACATGACTTATACACAGACCCAGGACTCCTAAGCTACATTGATGAGTTGTGCTCCCAGAAAGACTTTGTCAAACAGGTGAACTGCACCTAGAGCCTAAGTGTTGGCCAGATTCTGAGATCCTTGGAACGAAGCCTTTTCTTTTCTTTTCTGCTGCTGCCACCACTGCTGCTCCTGCGCTCGGGTGCGCTCTCGCTGTCTCTGTCTCTGTCTCTCTCTCTCTCTCTCTCTCTCTCTCTCTCTCTCTCTCTCC